GTAACTCCCTAAAGTCGAACTCGCCTAACTCCATTTATCCCTATACACTTATACCGCGACTCGTCCCAGGAGCAATTATGTGTTTCGTGCACGCGGGAGACAAGGTTCTCGATGAAAGCAACCCAACCGAATGGGATCCATGTGTCCGGCTGTTGAACCACCTGGAGCCACATAACTGTATACCTATATGATTTATTTTGATCAAAAATCGGGTAAAGGGGTTTTTCTAAAGCTGACTCAAAAGGAGGTACAGGTCAACTCTAGGACCTGTTTTGCCGTTCTCAATGGACAATGTCCTGCCTCACAAAGGACCCAGCTAGATCCTCCCACGATACGCATGTGGAGCGGACTTCCATTCAGAATCCGTGAGAACGAGATTTCATATTTTTCATAACTACCGGCCCCCGAACCTTCGGGCTCCGCTTCTTTTTCTCGGACACTTCGTCAGTCTCAGCTTGCTCGGAGACTCCACGAGAACACGTCCAAATTCCAGGGGACCGACTGCACTCTCGTTTCACCCGTTTGTTCGCGGGTCGGACATTTTCCACTTGTTCCCAGTCGATTTTCTCACTCTTATGCCCGGTTCACACGATACCCTTTTCTCCTCCTGGCCCCACCTCGACATTACCCACTATACCTATACTTCGATCTCATACCGATTTCCCATTCGGACTCGTACAAAACGATCGGATCGGATCCCCAGCATCCCTTCCCCGTGATCCAGCACGATGATCGAACACCGATCTATATTGGCTGTATGCTGTACTGATTTATTCCATGTGGGTCTCATGTCAGATAAGCCGGTAACGATATCTGAACACGATCTCGAGAAAGTTCCGATCGTGGGTTTGAGATTTAGCGGGTCGGGAAGGGGGGATAGAAATTTGAAAAAAATTTTGAATAATTACGAAAAAGTCGGGCAGTGGTAAATACACGTGTGACGTATGTATGAGCTTGCCCCGGTTTATTGTTATTATATTTTTTTAATACCCAAGGCAGGTTCGACGTCTTTTTTTTTTTCAAATCCATTTTTTGCCGCTCAACGGTTTTTCAGCAGGTCCTGCCCCTGCTACCCCGGGAAAGGGCTGGTTCTCTCAGTCACCCAGAACGTTCGTGCGGGATAGGCTGCGAGGGGACTTCTTAAAAAACACGGCAACGCCATCTTGAATGGCATTGTATCACGTAGGTTTTCTGGCAGTGTCGAAGGGGTGAGGTGGGAGGGGGGGTACCGTGGGTTTGACCCAAAAAACACTCACCCCTCGGGAGAAGTCTAAGGGATTTAAGACTGGAGAGAGAAAAGATACGGGAGCTACCTGGTAGGAGAGGGAGAGAGCGAGAGAGAGAGAAAAAAGGCAGTAGGGGTTTTCTATAAAAATTATCCCCACCATTCTAAGGGTCCTTTCTATTCTTTTGATATCCTGTCGGGGCCCTCTCGGTGCCTGCGGATCTTCAGTCAGCATCCGAGCATGGACCACGTCAGTAGTGCCTCTCGCTGATCGGGCCAAATTTGTACCGGCGATCTGGGCCTCGCAGAGATCGACCCTTGACCCCGCGGAGTCCTACAGACACTTATCCCTTTCTTCATTTGAACCCTTAATTTCCAAGGGTCACCCTAGTCCGGTTTCAAGTTCGTGTCGCTATCATGCACGGGCGCCCTTACGCTACGTGTCGTCGCGCAACGCGTTCTTGATTAACGGTTCCCGCGGGATAAAGTGCCGCGTCGAGTGCGCGTTCGCAATTGGCTGCGCTTTCGCAATTAGTGATTATGTCACAGAAAGGTAAACAAACTTATCGCCAGGGACTTTTCGACGTACCGAGATAACGGACCGATCGAGATGCTGGTGCTGTATGTTTTGTGGGATATCGAAAATTCATCTGGACCATTTCGAAAATTGGCTCGACAATTGCATGCGATTTGGATGGCGATGGGGAAAATGAAAATTTGTACAATATTTATTTCGAATCGGGGACGTTCGATCGATCGGATAAGGCCGAAGGGCCCGATTTTCTAAATTTCCTATACCGCTCGTGAGTGCGAGAGAGAGGGAGCTATGGGGCTTCGCGGGCGTCAGACAAGGACAGCGACAGCGGATATTGCCGGCCGGCGGGATTGATTCGCGAATGACTCGTTATCAAATTCTGAGGATGATACCGCGTTACAGTGATTCCTTATCATTGACGTAGGTCAGGTCAATATTTTAATCAAAACCGTCCACCACCCTATTTCGCGATACGCGATCAATTAATCGTAATGAGATTAATGACTTTTATTAAACTTATCAATTATGAAATTTCTTTTTTGGGAATTAAGTTATTTCACACACGCGTTACGTTGCGTGCTTTTTTTTTTGCTTTTTTTTCTCATGTGTGCATATATGTACCGTACAGGTGATACTTTATATAGACATCGTGACGGGATCGCTGGAAGAGGAAATTGGCGCAACCCAATACTAATGGATAATGGAATTATTGGTTTCGGTCGGGGTTCGCCCTGGGGATCATCGTAATTCAATTGTTTCGATGTGTCCTCTGGACGTTTTGACAGGACGGATGTCCTAACAAGGATAACGCCTCGGGTTATCCTTATATTCTAGGAAAGAGAAGGCAGCGGGTCCAGGAAGCTTCTGCCTAGTCGGTCGTCAGCGGTGATCGGCTTGGTGAATAATTTTTTTGGAAATTTGAAGAAAAAAAAAAGTATCACGTATCGACGAAAAGTGTCAAATTATCAATCTCTTCGGGATTTCCAATGGATCTCGAAATTGCCGGGAATCGCGGTCAAATATTGTATCAAGAAACAATTCCCGGGTGGAAATTAATATACGGCGAATCCAGGAGATTCCTAGTCGCCTGTATTTCCGTCTGGCTTCTTCCGCGTATTGCAGCGTCGGGCTACAAGCGCTAGAAATTACCCAGCGCGACGAACGAGGAGCCAAATAATGGCTGACTGAGACGCTACTAGCGCGAGAGAGTCAGAGGGAAGGACGAGTGGAGGTGGTACGAGAGAGAGAGATATATATATATAAGAGGCAACCGATCGCCCGGGCATTACGAATGTATGGACCAATTTGTAAGCAATCCAACTTACATTCGACGACCAATATTGTATTTTTATGCGTTATATCTAGAGCGGCCGAGGTATACGCCCGACACTAGCGCCATCTCTCGTACCAAGTTACAAGCGTATGCCTGTGTTTTCACAGGGCTTTTGTTTTATGGCTCTGTCACGGGGTAGGAGCTCCGTGTATCGCATAGGTGGGGAAATATTCTTTTCTTTTCTTCTTTCTTCGGATTCATTCGGCGACGGCCTTTCCGCGTGACTTTAGGGATCGGGAGACAGCGGGGTTATGGTTCGGGGAGTTTCACTCGGGGAGTTTCACTCGGGGAGGAGGCTTGTTGTCGCTTGGATCATCGTGACGCTTGGCGACGCTGCCGCTACTACCGGTACCTACTGGCATTAGTACCAGTGGACCCCTCGGCGCCTCCTGAAGTTTTCGTCCAACATCTGCCCACGAAAAAACAAAAGCCTATTGTCGCTAACGACCGGTCGCGCGTCTCTTGTTTCTAACCGAGCGCTTTTGAATCGTAGGCGAATAACGGACTCGTGGTCCATTCAATCACGGGATTCTCTATCTTGCTCGCTCTCGTCTCTCCTGGGCTCGGTCCCTCTCTCTCTCTCTCTCTCTCTAGTGACGGGGGTTACGGGTTGGATGCGGTTCTCGGCTTTGGGGTTTCTACTCTTTTTTTTTTTTTTACGTACGACCGTCTTAGTCGGTTCCGTATACATCCACGTTCTCTTCTTGAATCTTTCATTCTTTCTTCCTCCTTTTCGAAACTTCCGCGCGCTCACTGGTCTTCCCGGGCGACGCCTGGCGTCGCGATTAAAATCTTAGATTCCACGAAGAATGCCGCGTAGCCTCGGCTGCTCTCAGCGATTTCACCTTCTGATATTTCGAATGAATTCTTCCTAGCTTCCTGTTTCGCGGAACCATCCGCCCTCGTGCTCCCACTTCCGGTACGTATTCAGCCGTGACGCCTGGCCGGTGGCGCCGTTCGACTTAGCCCCGGGCGAAATTTAAACCGGTTACGGCACTGTACGGGCCTGAGGAAAAAAGCTTCGGACAGAAAAGGAGTGGCCTACGGCTTGAGCTTGCGCCCTTGGCCAGTGGTCAAGCGAGGGCAGGACTCCGCCCCGAAAAAAATCGAGCCACGTACCTACCTAGGGGTGTCCCGGCACAGGTTGGATCTCGGTGACACGAGGTTTTTTTGGAAAAAATGGAAAAATGGGATTGGGGGTGGTAAAGTAATTCAAGCGTAAAAGAAATATAACACCCGTAGTCAAATGGATCCAGGGTAAGTGCAGGGGATGAAAGGGGATAATTTTTTTTTTTTTCGAAGAAAAATAAAATAAAAATTCTCCCCTTCTTACCGACCGAGCAGACAATTCCAGACGGGCTTGCTTTGCGCCCGGCTGCCAAATCCGAGCCCAATAGGGATACGGTACTTGAATGCTGCGGAAAAGGATCGATATATGAACTCCTGCCAATCTCTATGTTAATGCTCCGGCCATATAAGGGTAGTCACGGGGTGCTTTGCCAGGAATACTCCTGAAGGACCCTAAAAGTGAATTGTGACGTCTGCGGGTGACCTCAGGACCTCTTTGCGGCCGAATGGGAGTCCCGCTGAATTATAAGTCCTACGCGACCCCAGTGAAGCGAGCCGCGTAAGGTCCGCCGTGAAGTTGGCCAATGCTCGGAACGACGTCTCTCCGGGACATTAGAGAGACAAAAGGGAAGAGGGCTAATTCTATCAAAGGGATACTTTTATGCCGTAGAAAATCGTTTTCGTCCGGGGGTCGACCAGGTCCCTTATCGCGCTGTGTTATCTGAACGTGCAATTTTCTGTGTCATAATTTCCCCATCCGCCCCCCCCCCGCTCCCTCCTCCCTTCTCATTTCGCTCTCTAGCCCACGTTAACGCAGTCTCCTTTTTTTATTGTCGCAGCGGAGACGTCGCAGGGCACCACTCAAGACACCGTCCAATGCGGGGGCTGCCGGGCGTCCTACCCCCTCGCTGAGATTGTGCGATTTATCGAGCACAAGGTCAACCACTGTCGCAGCACACTTCAGGGCTGTCACAGTCCGTCCCCAGCTGCTGCGCCGGAGGACTCGGACCCCGAGGACGCCCTGGCGCTCAAAGCGGAACAGGAAAAATTGAATTCGGTGCCGAGTATCTCGGCGCCTATCAATAAAAGGGGCACCAGGGTGGAGAGTCCGCCTACCCCGCAGGGATCAGCTCAGGACAGTGGCAGTCCCATTGAGCTCAGGGCCAGTGCCAGTTCCACCCCCAAGAGACGGCTGGAGGGCCCCGAGGAGGACAAGGAGGAATTGCCGAAGAAACGTAAAACGGAATCCGTCGATGCTGATACCAATACCGTTAATTCCAGTGAGTATAATGGATATGTGAATAATTTGAAGAAAAAAAAAAAAAAAAAATTTTTTTTTTTTATTTGGTTCCGTTGTCGAATCGGATGATCTGGAACGAACGCGAAAAATAAGGTGTGTAATAGTCTTTTTAGGTTAGGTCGGTAAACCTAGCCACTTTCTCGCGCCGTTGCCTTAGGTCGTGAGCGTCCACGGCACCGACTAAAAATAGAGACATACGTGTTACTTGACACGCGACTGTCGTCGTTTCTCCTGGCACCGTGCATTTGGATTTTGGCGATTTTGACGTGGCTCGTATGTGAATTACGTTACGTGTCATGGGACGTGTCAGGAGCGAATATCCTGACGGCTCGAGTAATCCTTGATACCGTGACATTTTATTGATTCGATGATACGTGACGGGATGGGCAGAACGCCCGTTTTTTGAGTTTTTTTGTTTATTCAATTTTCACGTCATACGTCGAACGTAGGAAGGAACGAAAATTTTAAGTACCGCTACAACGCGACATGTGATCTCTGACATGCTCTGTCGGGGCTGAACAATGACTCGCGCCAAGGGGATTGAGGGGGGAATTCGATTTTTGAATTTAAAGCATCCGCCCCTGACTACGGGCGGACCTGGACCATTGTCCCGTACATTGTACCGTTGTCGAAGGGGTTAACGCGCGGGTGTCTGTGGCACGTATGTACCGGGCATCCCTGAAGCGTGAATTCTTTTTTTGGGGGTGAATTGAGCAATTTTTTTATTTTTCAAAAATTCTAACAACCGGAACGCTGTAACGCCGGGGGCATTGTTCGAATTGCTTCCATTTACAGTGATTTCGACGCAGTCTATTTTTATCAAACTTTTTTTTTCTTCGACCCTTATTTTTCAAAATTTCCATCTAACCGAACATCGCAAGGGATGATCCGTGGCAATCAACCGCAAATCCCATGTCGCTAATTACACCGCGTGGATACGAGAGGACTCTCGTGGCAGTCGATTCTCTTTTAAATTTTATCACGGTTCGGGGGTCACGAATCAACCCCTATACAGCTCGTGCCCGTCCCCGTGTCTGCCTAATGCACGGAACCCCTTTTCGTCGCGTTTTTGTCACAATCTCTTTTTTTTTCTTCTTCCTCTATCTCCCTCCCGCTTCTTTAACGTATCCAGCCAAACGGGTCCTGGCCCAATTAGAATCGTCCTATTGTCTGGCCACGTGGTCCGCACGAGCCCCCTTCAACCCCTGTTACTCCTGCGCCACCCTTGGTTAACGTTGCGTACGACCAGGTACGTGGCTCGTGACAACAAGGGATGATTTTTCGAGAAGGTAAACGGATCCTGAGACTTTGGTACTATATCCACCCGAGATAGCATACACGACCCCCCCACCCGTACTTTTTTGATCCACTTTCTTTTCCTCTCCTCAAACCAACCCCCTGGCTCAGGGTGGAAGCAGCTGACAGTTAAAACATTGAAATTTACATTGGACAGCCCCTGATACGTAAATACGTATATTAAATATTCTTGAGGATTTTT